GTTGGCTAGGGGAAAGGGGCTCTCCTCTGTATGACTCTCAGTTGGGCTGCCACACCACACTGCTCTTCCTTCTCTCCGTGGGTCATGTCAGACTCTAGTCAATTTTAATGAGAGACCCTGAACACCTTGTTTGCTGGTGAAGGATTCACATGCTTTCTACGTTTTTATTCTACGGGAGCTTCTGAATGGTGCTGCTTCTAGTCAGCCATCTTGGCGCCACCCCCAAGCTCGTTCCTTTATGAAGACCTCCTCACAAACCCTCAACTCCACTACCCATCTATGTATTTGGATTCATGGACAGATGCAGGGAAATTTTCAGATCTGAAAATCTTCCAAATAGAATAATCTCCACTGAAATCTGGACAGACTTCAGACTTTATGCACAATTTAAACAAATACTCAAACAACAATATGGAATTTTCTGATTTCTTTGATTAAAAAAAGAAAATATCTTTCTCCCTTGCATGTAGGAAATTACCTATATCAGCTTCTTATTGCTGCTATAACAAATTATTACAAATTTAGTGGCTTAAAAATGTGAATGTGTTGTTTTCTAGTTCTTGTGGTCAGAAGTTCAAAGCAAGTCTCAGCAGGCTAAGATGTCATCAGGGCCGCATTCCTTTCTGGCAACTCTAGTGGAGAATAAATTTCCTGGTCTTTTCTGGCCTCTGGAGTCTGCCTATATACCTTGGTTCAAACCCCTACCATCTTAGGTCTTCAAGGTCAGCAATGTTGCATCCTCTAACTCTTCTCCCATAGTCACATACCCTCTGACCAGAACCAGGAAAGGCTCTCCATTTTTAAGTGCTAATGTGGTTAGATTGTGGCCACCTGGATAATCCAGGATTATCTCTCATCTTAATTTCCTTAATCTTAAATGCTTCTGCAGCGTCCCTTTTGCCATGTAAGAGAACATATTCATAGGTTCCAGGGATTAGGGTGTGGGAATTTTATTTATTTATTTAAATGGGGAAACATTGTTCTATCAAAACATATTTTTTCTTTTTTTTTAAAAGACTATATTTCTTGAAAATCGTTTTTGCTGCTTATAAATCAGAAACATTCAGGGAACTTCTGCATAGTTCACAGACTTTCTTTCACTCTAAAATGCGCACATGGCAAAGGAATAAAGAGTACTTCAAAACACGACCCTGAGAAACCCAATTATCTGCCATCACTGTTGATGGAGAAGATAAAAATTATTTTGATACCATTCTAATCTCAAGCAAGTGTTTCTCAAGGACAGAAATTACGTATAGAACCATAGATGAATGTGACTCTGGGAAATGTAGTTTCAAAACCTCCAACCCGTGTTAAAAAATAAAAAGAGAGAGAAACAATAGAAAAATAGAGAGATCAATACTCATTACTGTAAGAAAGCACATCCCTAGCAATTTAAATAAATTTAAATCACAAATATGAAATATAAGTCAAGCCTCAAACTGTAAATTTAATAAATAATATTTATTTCAGTTATGTTTGCAATATAAAATGTTTCAGGTGTTAACTGGTTAATGTGCTGCAAATTTTTAAAATATCTGTATATATAGATAGAGTGTATGTGCATATATATAGTGTGTGTGTGTGATTATCAATTTCTTTTAAATAATCCCTATTTGTGAAGTTTTATTTTTGAGAACTATACTTCCTTGAGGAATTGTGGCATAAACAACGCTATGAGTTTACCAAACCATTTCATTTCCTACACATAGAACTAAGCTGTAGTTTTGAATCACATTGCATCTTAGTGGGCTAATGTCTTTAATTCTCAAGATTAGAAGGTAAACAAGATGTATTATTTCTTGTCTGAATTATATTTAGTTAATGAAAGTGATATTTGCATATTGTTTTTACCTTTCATGACAAGTTACAGACCCATTTGTTCATATAGGACAGTTTCAAAAGGGAGGAGGGCTGCTTAATCTGAATTTGACTTTAAATGAAAGAACAATAAAAGTTTTTATTGTTAAAACAATACTCGTTGAGAAATTTACCTGATACCACAATGTAGTTTATTCTTTTCTGACTATTGTAGAAATATTTTCAGATTTTTAAGCAATAAATAGTACAATAATATGTTGATTGGTAACAAATGTATCTAACATTTGTCATTTCACATACTTTCTACATTTTTCTCTTTACTTTCTATTTTTTGCATGACATTGCGCTAAGCACCAATTACCATATTAGAAACTGACCTCTCAGAAATTACACATTTTTGTAATTACCTAATATAACATTGCCCTGGTGCTGTGGCATTATGTATTTTACAAAAGCACATGATTAGCTAAGACATTTGTCATGGGAACCTTACATAATTTCAAAAGAAATGATTTACTAATTCCTTCAGTATGAATGTTACAGTGGCAAGATCACAATCCTCATTTTATAGATAGTTTTACGGAAGCACAGAGAGATTAAAAATTTAGTCTAACGATGATTGAAGAGGATGTAAGTCCCCGTTTCTGATCCTCACACGCTTTCTATTTGTCAACTTGTATATGTTCTTTCTCTGGTATACATTTGACATCTTGGAAATGAGAGAAAAATCATCTCCCGTGGGAGCAAAATGACATTGATAAACGTGGCAGAGATTTGACTGCCATTTCTGCAATTTGAAAGACTTTTCCTTTCTGACACAGAAAAGGAAGTAGTTACAAGTGAAAAAAAAAAAAACTTAAAAGAATATTTCTTCAAAGTGAAATAATGTTTTATTTTAAAAATTAGAAGAATCATAAGAAACATAGGGTCATCAAAATTACTAAGGAGAAAAGAGAATTTTCTTTTTTCTCTCTCTTTTTTAAAAAGTAAACAAATGTGAATTGTCTCTAAAGGTATAATTAACTGAGATGGAAAAAGTAACACTGAACCAAACGAAAAGTAGGTCAGCTCATTTGAGGTTCTTGGCTGCACAAGCTCTGACAGCTGGCTGAATATTTCTATATATATAGAAGATACACGGGTTCTAGTGATTTATTGGTCTTTCTTTCCCTTATGCATGTTATATAAAAATATAGAAAAGAAAACCTATAGTTTTTCCTTCTTGCTCAGGAAAAACCTACATTGGGGACTTGAGTGTAATTATGAAATGGAGTTAGCTATACCCAACTGCACAAAACACATTGCTAATTATATTCAAACGCAGAGGAACTACGATTGATGAAATAAAGTTTTGGTACTTTCTGGCCCTACAGATATTTTATGTAAATTTTACTTTATATTCATGTATCAATTACTTCTTATACTTTAAAAATTAAATCTATATTTTCTCCTCACTACACACCCATAAACGAACAAGTAAATATTTACACACTTTCATTCAAAAAATTCTTTTAAAATTTTGCAAGCAATGAAATTCTAGGAAAGTCAAAGTGCCCCTCTTTCAGACACTAGCAAACCTTACCACACTTGATTCATGAGACTCATTTGTCCCATTTCAAGGACACACAGAACAATTCATCACACATGCCTCTTTAAGTAGCCCATTGTGCACACTGTCTGTTGGGGAAAGTGTGTCTAATTGTATCCTCCATTCTGGCAAACCCAATCCTGTACCCAAAATATATTGGAAATCTTTTTGTCTTTGAAGCTTGGCTAATAAATTTTGAGTATTTTTCACTATGTCTCCTATTCTATTCTCAAGTCCTCCTTCTTCCAAGAACCTTTCCAATCCACTTCTATTTAGAAGGGTTTCTCTTCTTTTTCTTATTTCACATCTCTCTTTGCAGAGCCAGTTTCATATGAAACTACTACTTCTACACAATATCATTTCTACCTCAAACCTCTGAAAATGGGCTTCTATTCCTACAACCCCAAAAATGACATCAATACACTTATTTGCTAAGTCCAACAAAAAATATGGCCCATATATTACTTAAACTTACCTAGAGGTGAGACTATTATACTGTTTGTCATTCATTACTCTTTCTCCTTACATGATTTCCAATAAATTACATTTTGAGTCATCCTTCTTTACCTTTGTTCAGAGTTCTTATTCCTCAGCCAATTTATCCAGAAAAGATGCAAATCATGATTTTTTTTCACATTTGTTTTATGTGAAAACTATAGGCTGGGGACTATTAAATTTATATATTTAAATATATATATATTATATATATATATTTAAACTTAGTCCTTAACCATCATTATCTCATATACATATCAAACTCAACATGTTAATACTTGAATTTACATTTTAAAAGGGCCTATAAGAGAAAAATATTTGTTAAATAAAACTAAATTTTTTCATAGTGAAGTGGTTAAGTGTTGAACTTCCCAATCAGTCACACCAGAATTAAATTCTAGCTTTGCCACTAATGAGTATAATTCCATAATACCTGCTTCATACTGTTGTCATTTTATGAAAACTAAAGAAGAAATTTACTTATCATACCAGACAGCATATAGAAAATGCTTAAATATGTTATTGTTGTTAACATAATTTTTAAACAAATTATATCCTGTTTAATTTTCCCTCTAAATGTCTTTGAAATCTATCCCATTTTGTCATTCTCACTAACACTGGTTTAATCTAAGCCCTTATAATTTATTGCTAGTATTGCTGAAATAGACCTCTAATAGGTTCCTAATCTTTCCAATTCAGTTCTTCAAATACCATTAAAATAGCCTTCTGAAAAAGCAAAATTAGTCATAATACTTCTGTATCTAAAATAATTTGTGATTCTGCATATATTTACTAAGTACTTTTAAATTTCTGAGTAAAGTGGTCAGTATTTTTTCCTTCTTCTCCAGGCTTACCTCTCATCATTATACCTCTTGCATTCTATGCTACAGTCATATTCAGTCACTTTTAGTATTCCTGATGGATCATTCTCACTGTCACGTTTAGACCATTTTACATAAAGCACTTCTATCCTGCCTCAAGGTTATCTTGGTTTGCATAGCACATTATTATCTTATTTCAAAATTCAGACAAGGCCACCACTCAAGCTTTTCTTGATCCTCAGACTAAATTTCTTGTTCCCTTTTCTGTACTTCAGTAGTATTCTGAGCATTTCTCTATTGGAGTGCATAACAATCTGATGCATCAGCAAGGGACGACAGAGCATACAAGTGATATAGAATCCAAGAGTCATCAATTTTAATCAAAGGTCTTTGAGGGTAAGAATTATATTTTAGACTTTCTTATGTTCTTTGTGGGATAGAAGTAAATAATAATTTATTAATCTTTATGTATTGCTGTTTTTAAGTCATTCTTTCTTTTTTCATGAAAAACAAGGTCTAGCAGGTAGCAACAGTGAAATGACCTGCAATGATATCATGCTTAGGAGGTGGACTTGTTGAGGGATGGGCGAGTCCTGTTCCTCCCAAGAATACTATAGCATTGCCTTCCCATGTTTGTCTTACTATCACTGATTCTCCTAATCACAAACAGTACCACATGAACAGGATCAACCAAAAATTGTAGAATAGTTGCTTATCTTGGTAAACTAAAGACTTAGATCAATAAGAATGTTCACAAATTTAAATACACATCAATTTTGTCAGATTCTTCAAAAATCTATTTTGATATTCTATCTAATTGACACAAGCCAGTTTTTAATTCTGACTCTAGCAAGACTTAAGTAGTATTAAAGAAAATAACCAAAATATTCAAAAAAGTTGCAATAAAGTTTACAAGTAGGTTTACTCTTATTAAATTCCTCATCAGAGATCCCCTAAGCCTTGTGTCTACATTCTGGGAAACAAACAAACAAAAAAACCAGTTGAAGTATAGCAAATAAGGAAAGAATCGGGGTAGTTTTTAGCAGTAGCATCACACAGAATCTATCTGAATAAGCAAGAAATTGCCCAAAAACTATTTGAAAATTTCAAATGACCTTTGTTCTTTAAAGGAATTATCCAAAAGTCAATTGTCCTTAGTATTGTTCAGAGGTCCCAGATATTACATTAATTTGCTCAAAATATGACACTTTTCACGCCCTCACTACAGAAGATAAAATTATTTTGAAGGACATTTAAAAAAAAATATGTCCTTGTATGTATTTAAACTTCCAAAAGTTTTAAGATCTAAAGTGACCATGAACATTGTATTGTCCACTACAGATATTCAAGACATTCTTTAACTCAGTTGTCAGCAAGCTATGACCCGCAGAACAAATATGGTTCATCACTTGTTTTTATAAATAAATTCTATTAGATTACATACATGCCCATTTATTTGCATTGTCTGTGGTTGCTTTTGCACTATGATGGAAAAGATGAGTGGTTGCTACAGAAATCATAGGACCCCCTAAGCCTGAGAAACATTTCAGTGGCGGTACTATCTGGCATGTGGAAGAAAAAAAAAATGTGCTGAGCCCTACTGAAACTCTTCTAATAATTTACATCTGATCAAATTATAAAAATGTCTTCCCAAACCACATCTCTCAGCTACTATTGATGTACAAACATTTTTTATGGACACACACACATACATTAAATATATATTTTATATATATATGTATATACACACATATATACATGTATATACACACATATATACAACTATGTATATAATATTTTTAAATATAGATACATCTAACAATTTTTACCATGAAATAACAAATCTTCATGTTTCTTTGTACAACACTGAGAGAAGCCACGTGAGATATTCAGTAACTGATACCCTTTTGGATAGGTGACTTGACAGGGCTGTCTTAGCTTATAAAATTAAGAAGCTAATATTTGTTTGGTCAGTGCAAGAAAAGCATTAGATAATTTACCCCATTGATTTTTTAAATAGATATGGAATAAGTTAATTTAGGAGGCTAGGAAAAAGGAAAATGAGATAGGGGACAATACCGAACCAAGATGGAGTAACAGATCCTGAACCTGAAGAATGACAGTAGACTTTAGTCTGTAAAAACCTTAAAATAATAGATAAAATATAAGCAGTAATAGACATCAATAAGCTATATATCAGACAGAAAAGCACTATGATCCTTGAGAGGTAAACTACAAAGGTAAGGTCAACAATTTTTGCAGCTTGCTGCCTGAATGGAGTCTTGTGATTATTGCATAGATGAAGAAATTCAGGCTGAGCTTAGAAGTCTTCATGAGTGCTGGAATGGGGCTGAGTTTTTGTGGCAGGTAAGGCAGCTAAAGACATACAGCACAGGACAGAATGGGAGAGCTACGTAGGAGAGAACTCTAGAGAACTTTACAGGTTCTTCTTTGAGTATTCAGCTGAATACTGATCAGCTCATATATGTGAGGCAACTACCCAAGTTTGGGGAAAAGAAAACCCCAAGAGGATTAGAGATGAAACTCTTGGAGTTCACCAAAGGCACCACTAATGCCTATTCTCGCTAGCCAAAGTAGAACCTTTATAATTCATTAACATTGGGTAAAATATTCATTGGGTTTAGCTTGGTAGTAGAGAAAAATTAGAGCTAGACCAAAAGCTGCTCTGGTCCCACCTAAAAATGCTTAAAACCAAGACTCTAAGACATTAGAATATTTTCAAATAACTCAGTGATGTTCCTGAGCAAAGCTCAAAGATTTTTAAATAAATACAACACCCAGACTCCAAGAAAGAGAAATTCAAAATGCCTGATGACTAAAAAATATTTCAAGGTATTATAAAAGCTGAAATATCAATTCATAAGAAGAAAACAAAAGATATGGATATTAAGTAGTTATTAAAAACACTTTTCCATGTTAAAAATTAGAGAAAAGGTGGTACATGTTAAATACAGATATAGAAAATATGTATAAAGTCCCAAATCAAACTTTTGATGATAGAATTTATAATGTCTGTGATGAAAAGTACTCTAGATGGAATTAACGCTGATTAGATATTGCAGAAGAAAATATTAATAAAGACATTGGAATAGAAACTATCTAAAATGAAACACAGGAAGGAAAAGACTTAGAAACAAGAGCGTCAGAAGTGGAGGAGGTGCACAAATTATTTAAATAAACAACAATAAAGAATTCCCAAATTTTATAAAAAGTACAAATCTATAGACCTCAAAAGCACAATAAATCTCAAATTTCTTGAAATTGGTGGTGATTTAGAGAAAATATTACAAGAATTCCAAAGAAACAAAGACACACTATATACAGAGGAGTTATATTAAGAAACACAACTGATTTCTGATTGGAAGACAGTGGAGCTATGTATTCAAGGCACTGAAAAAATATGTCAACCTAGAAATCCCTATGAAGCAAGAAGTATTCAAAAACGCTGAGGAAAAAAATAATATTTAGACACACAAAAGCTGAAAGTATTCATCTTTGGCTGTACCAAACTAAAAGAAATGATAAAGGGAGTCTTTAAACAGAAGAAAAATAATACCAAATAAAATACGAGCTAAATAAAGGAATGAAGAACATCACAAATAGTAACTGTGGGGATAAATATAAAGACTTTTTCCATATTACTTATTTTTAAAAAAATATAATTAAAGGAAAAAAGACAATGTACTGCATGGTTTTTCACATAGCTAGAAGTATAATGAATGACTATAATAACTGAAATTCAGGAAATACATTGTTTTAAGATTCTTATACTGTACATATAGTGGTATGATATCATGTGAAGGTAGACTGTGATAAAATATATGAGATAAGCAATCAACAAACTATAACAATAAAAACTTAGAGATACAAACTAAGAAGACAAAACAGGAAATCAAATAAAAACATAAAAATTAGGCATAAAACAAAAATTCTTTTGTATAAACAAAAGTCAGAAAAAGAAGGGAAAGAAAGCAGAATAGATGAGAGAGATGAAAAACAAAAAGAACATAGACTTGAATCCAATTATTTCAATGATGACATTAAATACAAAGAAATAAAATGCCTCATTTGAAAGGCAAATACTTTGATAATGAATGTAAATGCACGACCAATTCCATACTCTTTAACAGAAACCCACATTAAATATAAAATCACAAGTAGATTTAAAATTTAAAATATAAAGGAAGGTTTGCCATGGCTAGAATGGCTATATTCATATTAGGGAAAGTATATTTCAGAGAAAATAATATTACCAAGAATAAAAAGTATGTACATATTGATATAGGGGATAATTTATCAAGGAAGCACATATATCCGAAGTTAGTGTACACATAATAACAGAAATTCAAAATCAAAGAAGCAAGATTGATATAATTGCAAGGAGAAATAGACAATTTTCAAAGCACATTAAGATATTTTTAAAAACTTTTCTCAATCATTAATAGAAAAGAACAAAATCAGTAAGGATATAGAAGACTTGAATGATAGGCTCAATCAACTTTATGCAATTGATATATGTATATCACTCAATTCTCAAACCAATAATAGCAAAAAGTGAGTCTCAATAAATATAGAATGATTAAAATTTTATAAATTCTATTTTTCTAATTAATGAAATAAATAATAGAAAAATACCTGGAAAATGTCCAAATATAAGAAAACTAAATAACATAGTTATAAGTAATGTATGGGTCAGGGAAAAATTACAATGAAAATTAGTAATTAATTTCAAGAAAAAAACACAATATATCAAAGTCTGTGTAATGTTACTAAGACAATTGTTAGAGGAATATGTGTAAAAGTAAGACCTACATTAGAAAGGAACTAAGGTTTCAAACACCCTCAGTTTCTACCTTGAGAAAATAAATGAAGTAAAAACAAATGAAACAGGATGCAAGCAGAAAAAATTAAAAAGAAAAAATATAGATATAGAATGTGAAGAAGGAGAAAACAAACAAAAATAGGCAAATTTAACTACAACAAAAACTAATTCTTTCACAAGATAAACTAAATTGATTGTCTAGAAAAGGAGATGAGATATAAGTCATAACATCAGGAGTTAAAGAGGTACAATCACTACAGTATCTATATATTTTACAATTAGAATAATTGAATATTATGCAAATTTCATGCCAAAAAAAAGATACCCTGGATAATTTCCTTGAAAAACACAAAATAACAAAGCTCACTGAAGAAGAAATTGGTATTTCTCAATAATACTGAATACATTGACTTAAAAATCAAACAAAACACGCTTTCAAGAAAAATAACTTCAGGCCTAGGTGGCTTCACTGAAGACTTCTTTCAAACATTCAAGGGAGAAACACTAATAAATTTACTTAAAATTTATCTGAATATTAAAGGTAAGTAAATCTTTCCCAACTAATTCTATGAAGTTAGCATTACTCTTATATATGAAACAGCAAAAGATATTATGACAGTAGAAAAACAAAAACGATTATACCACATTAATAGGAGCATATAAGCAAAATTAACAAAATATTACCAAACTGAATGGAACAATGCATTATGACTAAATTTTCTTTATCTTGAAAATCCAAGATTGAATTTACTTTCCATTACTATTCAATGCATTTCACCATAGTAACTGATGAACAAAAAAAGCATGCAATCAATTCGATTGATGCAAAAGGCATTTGGTGAAATTCAACATCCATTTCTGACAAGATCTGAGAACCTGGGACTAGAAAGGGAGCCCTATCTACCTCATAACAGTACATTTACAAAAATAGTACAGCTAGCATCATATTTGATGGTGAACTACTGAAGGCATTCCTCCTGAAATTAAGTACAAGACAAGGATGTCTACATTCATCACTTCTCTTCAACACTGTCTTGGAGGTTGTATTCATTGCAATGGGGTAAATGAAATAAATAAAAGGAATCCAGATTATAAACTAAGAAGCAAAACTTTTATTCATAGATAACAAGATTATCTGTACAGAAAAGGATCCTAAAAAATTATACTAGAAATAGTAGAGCTTATCGAGTTTACAGAATACAAGATCTATATATAAACATCAATTATTTTTCTATATACTAAAAACAATTAGAAGTTGAAATTAGTACAATAACATTTAAAATGGCATCAAAAGTGAAATACTTAATGATAAACAACAGATAATATACAAGATTCGTGTCTTGAAAGCTACAGAATATTGTTAAGATAAATTAAATATTTATGGACCAGAAAAAATTCAATATTGTTATCATGTGGGTTCTCTCTAGATTTGTCTACAGATTCCAGCTTGGTTTTGTATAAATTGACCTGGTGATTCTTAAATTCATATGTGTCTATTTGTGTGTGTGTGTGTGTGTGTAAGCACCTTTAATTCCAAAATTAACTTTATATAAGAACAAGGATGTGTAAGCATCTTAATTTCCAAATTAACTTTGTAAAAGAACAAGGTTGGGGAACTTACACTAGTTGACTTCATGTCATTATCATAAAGCTACCATAATCAAGATAATTTGGCTTTGGTATCAAGAGGCACCTATATCAATAGAAAGAAATGTCAAGTCCAGAAGTAGACATCCATCCATTCTTGTTAATTAATTTTTGACATGGTATAAAGAAAAGTTACTGGAGAATTTCTTCTTTCAAAAAAGGGCTAGAAAAAAATGCTATATCCATACAGAAAAAATTTATATAAACTGAAATCCATACCTTGAGCCAAATTTAAAAGGTGGAAATCAAAATACACTACAAGCATAAATGTAAAACCAAAGTATAAATGTTCTAGAAAAAAAATAGTAGAAAATTTTTGTGACCTTGGATTAGGCAGATATTTCTTAGATAAAACATCAAAGTATTATTCAAAAAAGCAATAAAATAAATAAATTGTATTTTATAAAATTTAAAGTTTTTTTCTGAGAAAGATACTGTTACAAAAAAGAAAATATTAGTGCAGACTCAGATAAAATATTTGCAAATCACATATGTGATTAGAGACTTGTGTCCAGATTGTATAAAGAACCCTCAAAACTCAACAAGAAAGTAAATAAAATAAATGAGCAGATAAAAATGAGAAAAATTTAAATCCACATTTTATGAGAGGATATGCAGCTATCAAATAATCACAGATAAAGATATTTAATACCATTAGCCATTAGAGAAAGGCAAATTAGAGGCACAACTAAATATTACTAAATATCTATTGAATTGGTAAAAATAAAAATAATGACTATACTGGTTTCTGATGAGGATATAATGCAAATAAATTTCTCACATATGTCTGGTAGAAATGTAATATTGTTCAGCCATACTGCAAATGAGTTTGAAATTTCTTACAAAGAATACACTTAACATGTAGCCTACAAATAATTTGCTTGAGATTTATCTTAGAAAAATAATATGTTAAAATGGCAGAAAGAAATGCTGTGATTTAAGTGTTCCATAAGAGTTATTTTAATAGGCAAAAACTAGAAAACATATCAAATGATTAAATGATGGCACAAACAGAATAGATTATTCAACAATAAAAGTTAAAAATCTATAGATATATGCAGGAAGTTGGATGGATTTTAACAGCATTATGTTAAGAAAAAAAAAAAAACAACAACTATCCACAAAGGTTACATACTGTATTATTTCATTTATATAACATTCTTAAAATGATAAAATCATAGTGTTGGAGAAAATATAAGTATTTGCCAAGAGTTAGGTAGGTGGGGAGAATGTGACTATATAAACATAACTTGAGCAAGGTTCTCTGTGGTGACAGACCAATACTGCATCCTAATTTTGGTGATGGCTAGCTGTGATGTAATTTTATAGCACTATAAGCTAATTTTTTAAAACAATGAGTGTATTTAAAAATGTGACATCTGAGTCATATATGCAGTTTTAAAAATAGTATTGTGTTAATATAAATTTCCTGATTTTGATAAATATGGTTAGGCGAGTTGCTATTATTAGGAAAAGTTGGCTAAGGGGTACTGAGAACTCTCTGAACTATTTTTCAGCTTCTTGTGAGTCTAAAATTATGCCAAATGAAGAAGTTAAAAAAAAATCAGTTTCCAAATCTTCATTAACTGGACTGGATATCGATACTTAATATTTGTTTCTCTGTAGTCCTCCATTTATTTATAATATAGTGCACATATTTTAAATCAGAAGCTCTATTTCTGACTTTTCATTTTTAATATTTTCAAAGCCACTCTTCCAAGTACATAAGCACAATATTTGTAATCACATAAACACACATGCATATAAAACATACTTAGCAAAAGACTTGTTTTAGCATATTGGGCTGTATATTTTCTCCCAAAGAAAGAGTTTTAGATTTCCCTGAGTTGGTACTACGTTTTTGTCATTCATGGTTAAATCTGAACATTTCTGACATTTCTACTTTATAAAAATCGTATTGACTTAAACTCTGAGGCACATAAACATGGAATTATATAACATCTTTCTACTTGAAGACTTATTCTTTATTTACAATGATTCACAATAGTTTAGTAGATCCCCTTGCTGGAAGTATGCATCTAACATGTCTTTTATCATAATTGATTATAGAATCAAATGCTAGATTTATATTGATTATTACCATGTAGCCATTCATGATCATTGTGACTCCTATAACATGGTGGTTTATTTTGTATGGCATTTTATGGTAACCTAGAATAATAAAAAGTGACAGCCTGTTTGGCTGATGTTTTACCTCCCAATAAAGTGAAAAATAACAGTTGTCACCACTGTAGCAAAATTGGATAATACTGCAGAACCAAGGAGTTTGGATTAGACCATGGCTACAGGTCAAAGTCAGAACTTGCTAATAGAATGGTAAATGTATTATGTCTAATCAAATTAATTGTAACGAAAATGGCATTTAATGTATAACTGCTTATTAATTTTTGAAAAATTACAGACATTGATAATTTTTGGTGTTCTTTTATGACTGTCTAATGATTCCCAGGTGGCTGAAATGGTGATTATCAAAGTAGATATTTGCATATGTGTTCAACATGGATAATGTACATTTTTAGATGTGGGATGATAGTTTCTTAGTAAGGATGAATAACATTAGGCATAAAATAGGCCAATGCCTAATACTCAAACAAATGTATCTTGTAGTTTAGATGTTGATTATAGCATAAATTAAACACTTTAAAATCCTGATATAGTAACCCCTGAGAGATACCAGCATAACTGATCTCAGGTATAATTGCTTCTGTGTAGGGCTCCCTTAGGCCCTCAAACAAAAATAGGACTCCTGACTCTTTGCTCCCATGCTACTCTTTTAGAATAAGTTAAATTGTTTTGAAACTGCTTAATTGTCTATCTACCATATTTATCTGAGATGTCCTTGAGAAAAGAGATTTTGTGCTGGTTTGTTAAATGTTCACAACGCTTTGCACAATATCTGGGACAGAATGACCACTGGGGGGATAAAAAAGCTTCTCTGTAACATAAAAATGCCTACTGATGGGCATGGAAAGAGTAAAAGAATTCTAAGGGAGTGAAAAAGGCAACACTAAAATTATCATTCTATAAGCAATTGAGAACAGCTAGAAGGGGTACAGTGAGGGCATTTTCTAGTTAGTATATGTAGTCAGAGCAATCAAACTGATAATGTAAGTTCACACAATGCATTGCTTTTAGAAATGATTATGTTTAGAAACACACAAAAATTTTAAAAAGTGAAAGTTGGAAAACTTTATTACTTAAATATAAAGTCATTATATAATTATAATTAATATAAAATATTAATTAAATATAAAGACAACTTGGTTGTCTCAGGTGTAAAATGGTGTAAGAGAATGTCTTCCACTTTAGTAATGAGAACAAGCCAGATAATCTACAGAATCATAACTTTTTGAGTCCGACAGGCGTCTGAGGTCACTAGATAACCATAATTTACTGAATTCTAAGGGTTGAGGAAATCCTCTATTGAAGATTGGATTCATAAACTATTACACCTTTTCCAAGGCATGGAAAGAAGAGGGGTCCACCATAAAAGATAGATAGTGAAATTAAAAAAAAAAAAAAGCTGATTAGAAAAAAAAAATTAGAGTGAAATAGCATGATATTTTAGAATCACTGGAAGTCCTGAATACAAAGCAAGTCTGCAATGTCTCATTTTTTTTTCCCAAGGGCTCCAAGAAGTGCTCACGAGAAACAGTGGGTATATGGCTAGAGACTTGATAAAGTATCTGCCCTCCATGGCACAAGTATGAAGGGCCTACCTAGATTGGAAAAGGGGCAGAAGAACCAGAAGATTCCTAGAAGCATTGTAGATCCTATGTGAGTTCAAGTTACTTGTCTGGTACTAGGCAGAACATTTACTAGCTCACTGGTCCTTCTTTGGCATAAAGCAAAGAACATATTTTGGGGGAACAGAAGTAGAAAAGAAGCCTGTATTTCTGAATTTTTACTGACAGCAGGCAGATGTAGGCTGCCTCTGTGGGAGGGACAGAAAGTCTGCCAGCACTAGTTTTGGCAATGAATAGGGGAATAGAAATTATTTGACATTATGGGAAAGAAAATAACGAGAAAGTCCTATCCCCAAGGTACAGGGACAAAGAGCTAATATAAGACAGAAAAAAATAAATAAATAAAAAAGAAATCTTGATTCCCTTGCTTCCACTATAAGACTTGAGGACAGTGACAAGCAATTATAATGTGTTCTTAGAGAGGGGCAAGAATGCAGAGTGACCTACCCCTGTGATTCAGGTATGCTGAAATCTCAGGAGTAAAAAATTTGAAATAAACCATATGGCCATCCTGGCTTTACACTAAGCACAAAGTGGTGGCTGTTCATCACTGTAAGAATTTGAAGCATGTTGTGCACTAAAGCTAACTATAGTAACAAGGGTATCCAGACCCAGGTCAACTACAGTCTAGATTGACTCAAACCTCACAGTAATGCCCTTACACACACACAAAAGGAAATTTACTGTCATAAATATTATTTATTCCAGATTCCACTGTTCTTTTACATACAATATCTGGTTTTCAATAATAATAATAATATAACAGACTTCTGGTCTCAGCTTCAACATGTTGAGTTTGGAAATTATCACTGTTGTCCTTACAACAAGAAAGAGTTGAACAGATTGAAAATAAAGGACTCTCCTTTGACCCCTCAGAAAACTTCGTTCAGTGGGAAAACCACTGCCCTCAAGTTGGAAGAAACAGGTGAATGCAGAGTTACAAGCAAGATCTGCTTATCTGGAGCAGAAGCTGCTGGAGCCAATAACTGGTAGGAACACTGAGGTGGTAATTTTGGCGAGTTGCTATAGGCAGAGAAAGAATGAAGTAGCAAGAGAGAAAATTTTCTGGTAGTTTTAGGAATGAGCAAGTCTGCACATTTGCATGGATTTTATTTCTAGGAGCCCCATCGAGTTCAAATAATGAAAAGCCAAGAAAGATATTCTAATAGCTCTCCCACAGGAAGGGAAAAATTAACACTTCAGAAATACCTTCAAGGACTTCTTCAAACAAAAATTACTCTTCAGGGGAAAAGATTGTTCCCAAGCCTTATCCCACCAGGGGAAAGGGTATTTCTCTCATTCTAGCTCACATATAACTTCCTGTCTTACCTATGTGGATAAGGAGCTGAAAAACACTTATGCAACAGCCTTGAGACATAGGACCATGGAAAGACTGAAACGTAATTAAATGATTATAGCTTGCTTCCCTGCTTTCACACCTTATCACCAAACCAACATGACTCCATTACAACACAGTGAATTAAAAATAAAAGAGCTGCAAAACAGAGTTACTTGAAGAAGATTACATAGGAAAGCTTTGTCAAGAGGAAAGACAAAAACAATGAAACTAGAGGAAATTGAACCCTCTGGCACCAACAACTGTAGAAAATATTTCTCAAAAAGCAGCCCAAATTTTGGCTGTACTTAGATAAAACCTCACACTATAGACCTGTTTAACTTCAATTTTGACTGCTTAGTTTATCAGGTCTGGCTTTCAACAACAACAAATTACAAGCCATTTTAAAAGGCAACTAAAATGCAGACTGAAGAAACAGGACGTTAGAATCATACTCTTATATGCCAATGATAGTAGAATTATCATGAATATCATTATAAAATATGTGTTAAAGGCTCTAAAATATACAACAGGCAAGAATAGATAGGTTATCTAATCAAAGAGATGAAAACTCAAAATCAAAAGAGAATACTACTAATTTAAAAAAACCTACTTAAATGGAAATGAATAATGTTTGGATATAGGTTAATTAAAAACATTTCAAACTGAAATGCAAAGAGAGAAAACAAAAATTATTAACAGAACCCCAGTCCTGAGGTATAATTTTAAAGCTCTAGCATATACACAAATGAAATACTAAAAGGAAAAGAGAGACAATAGTGCAGAAGAAGTACTGGAAGAAATAATGGCTAGGGATTTTCCAAAATAAATGAAAAATATCACACTACAGATCTAGAAAACTCAAAGAACACCAAGCAGCGATATGGACAGGAGACAGGGAAATACTGGGTAGAAGAGGACGGTTCCCTGGCAAAGGCCCCACCCTCAAACCTGGAAACCCCTGGCGCTAAATGGGAACAGCTATTCCTGTTTTCACACCCAGAAGTTACCTTTTGGCCTGCCATACCTCCCTATCCTGTACATATAAAAACCCCAGACCTCAGGCTTCAGAAGGAGACAAGGAGACAAACAGAAGAGCAGAAAAAATGGCAGAACAGCACAGGAGAGAGAAGAGAAGGAGTCTCTGAACACAGAGAAGAGTTCTGCTGGGAGTGGTTGCAGAAGATATCCACTGCTGGATAGCCAAACTCCAGGGGAAGATCACCTTCGCAATGCATCCCCCTTCCAGCTTCCCATCCATCCTGCTGAGAGCCAACTGCAACACTCAATAAAACCCCCCATATTCATCCCTCAAGTATGTGTGTGACATGATTCTTTCTGGATGCTGGAAAAAGACCTGGGTACCAAGAGGGCACTGAGCTGGTTAACACTTAAGCCAACTGCAGATTGCAAAGCTAAAAGAGCACACTGTAACACATGCCCATTTGGGCTTTGGGAGTCACAGGCACCCATCCCTAGACACCACTGTGGGGCTGGAGCCCCAAAGCACTTGCCCCAGCTCCTGCACCTGCCCACCTGTGTGCTCCCCCTCCTATAAGGGGTTTGAGTAGGTGCCACAGACAAACAGGTGAGCCACATCCCTGTTGTGTGTTTTGAGAGGGGGCTCAGGAACGCTCCTATTTCAGCAGGATAAGAAAAAGATAAATCTACAACTAAGCATGTGTAAAGGAAAATAAAGTAACAGGACCTCCAAACTCCTTATGACAAAGGGAAAATTAAGACTGGAAGCTGAGACACTATACAGCCAACCTCTTTCCAGATGAATAACTGTTCCTTCAAAACTTTGTGAAGTAACATTATACATTAGCCAGACTCATGGAAAGGGAAAATGCCTTAGGAATTTCCTCAGGATTATCTCCACAAAATCTCTCATAAGTTAATTATTTACTGTCCTCAACATTTTCAAAATGTATATATCCTTCCTTAAACCAAGGAAATGTCAATTGTAACTGTAGATCTGCAATCTTAATATGGCTCCTAAAACTAAAATCTGTTCAATTCCACACTGATAACGTCTATTATAGCTCATCTTCCAAGTTTCAGAACAAAGGCAAGATGAGATGAATCATTCCTTCATCAACCCTCAGAAGTTTACACAATTGTTTCTTCCTGTACTTACTTTTTCTTCAGATGTTCACTTTACCTTTGCAAAATGTAGATTTCCTGTGAACTAACTAAATTCTCACAAGAATGTAACCATTTGACTCACTGTTATGAAAACTGAATAGATGACTATAAGAATTTTTAGGGTTGCAAACCTTTCTGTATGTTACTGTGGTGGTGCAAACACTACGAGAGAAACTTGCCAAACCTACAAAATTTACGAAACACAGAGTAAAATGTAATGTATGCAAACTTAAAACAAATATTTAGGATCTTAGGAGATCTCATGATAAAATGTGAAATGCTATAAATTCATCTAATTATACTACAAATGCATGAAAAAACATCATTTAAGTGAGTGTGGTACGAAATTTGCTAAGTAATCTTAACAATGCTTGGAATATGCAAGACTAATTGTAAAAGAAACTGCATAAAATATTTATGCAGTCTTCTAGATGATAAAATTTTCTGATCCATGATGACATGGGTTAAGGCTATACCACTGTTGAAATTGGATTTTCAATGCCAGCAATGTAAAGAGGCTAGAACTATCTACATAGTAATGGATTAGAACTGAAGATATCAGTATAAACTCACTCCTAGTTTAATATGATGGTTCTATCTAGATATCCATCTAGATAGTATACACACATATATTTCCATTCTCTGAGAGCTGATACTCTAGAATCAATAGCACCTCAGAAACAACAAACAATAATACAACAAACAATAATAATATCTTGTTTATATTACCATTCTCCAGTACAAGGAAACAGAACTCTTTGGAGAAATGATTAATTCTAATACTGGTCAAGAAATCTGGAAGGTGAGCCTGGAAAATCTTATAGTGTCAGAAAGTAATAAAGTACTCAACTACCACCATGACCACCATCACCAACAGCAAAACCCAAAAGGATGGAACTAATGATGGGAGAAGCTAAAAGGGATTCAGGAACCCATTGAAAGAGCTCCAAATGACAAAAGTTGGAATATTTTAAACCACAAAATCACTTTAGTGCTATTGGACTTTAACCCAAACTTACAATAAATATCTGGCTCCATGCTGATACATTTAGATCATTGGACAAATAAATGGGGGGTAAACACTTATCTCCCTTGCAGAAAATTCCAAACAATTTAAGTAAGTACTCCACCATTAACAAGGTGAATCCCTCTCTTTAGGTGAATCCCTCTCTTTAGATGGACAAATCTTTTAGATAGTTGTGGACTGTACATAGAAAATTTATTTCAGATAGTTTACTTTAGGTAGTTTAAGAATGGGAACAGGAAGTAGTTTTATCATGGAGAAACCTGACAAACACAACAGCTAGGTGATCACAATCAATATCAATTATAAGTCATATTGGTAGTATCATGTGCTGAAAGTGGCCTTTTACTATATCTCCCTTCTTGCAAAAACTTATACCTCCAGTCTAATCTTAAGAAAAATACAAGACAAATTATAGTTGAGGGATTTACTTTCTACAACATACCCAACTAACATTTCTTAGAACTTTCAAGGTCATCAAAAACAAGAAGTCTCTAGGAAACTCTCATAACCTGGAGAAGCCTAAAGAGACATAGCAAATAAATTGAATGTGATATGTTACATGGACTACTGGGACAGAAAAAGAACATCAGGTAAAAAACAATGGAATTATGGGTAAAATATAAATTTAATCACAATAACATATTAATATTTGTATATTAAACAAATGTAACATAGTAATCTAAGATTTTAATCAGGGAAATGGGGTGGGAAGTATATAGGAATGTTCTGAAGTATCTTTGCAGTTTATCTGTAAATTTAACTCCGTTCTAAAACAAATTTTTCTAAAAGAATAAGGTTGAAATACAGATTTTTTCAGATGTAAGCAGAGATAATTTCTTGCCAGAAGACATGCACCACACGAGATTTTAATCAAATTTGTGAAGGTTTATTTTAGGTGTATTTTTAGAATATTTGAAATCAAGAGCAGAAAGGACTTTTTATATAATAGTTCATTTTATGCTTTTTGTATTTTAATTCTATAAATTGAATTAAAATGTACTTATGCAGCACCATTACGATATTATATTATTTTGTATTTGTCTACATATTTACCTTTACAAGAGAGGTTTATACACTTTTGTGTTGCTTTTCAGTATCTTTTCATTTCAGAATCTCATTTTAGAATTTTTAGTAAAATAGACCTGTGGTGATGAACTCCCTCAGCTTTTGTTTAAATGCTAGGTCCTTATCTCTTCTTCATTGTAAAAGGACAACTTTGCCAAATTTGGTATTATTGGTTGACTGGGTTTTTGTTTGTTTGTTTGGTTGGTTTTTTTGGTGTTTTTTGTCATTGTTGTTTGGTGGCTTTGTTGTGACACTTTAAATATACATTCTACTTCCTTTTGGCCTCCAAGATTTTTGCTGAGAAATCTGCTGATAGTCTTAGCATGTTTCTCTTGTATGTGACAAGTCCTTTTAATCTCGCTTTTTTCAAAATTCTCTCTTTGTCTTTTACTTTTAACAATTTTATTACTAAGTGTCTTTGTGTTTCAGGATACACATAAGCTGACAATGAGGGATGGATAAAAATATTTCATTCAAACAGTAACCGAAAGAGAGCAGGATGAACGTATTTACATCAAACGAAGTAGACTTTAGATAAAAAACTCACAAGAGACAAAAAAAGATACTATAATAATAAAATATCACCAGGAAAATATAAAAATTTTAAGAGTATAGATACCAAACATTGGAGCATCTAAATATATGAAGCAAATACTGACAAGACTCAAGAGACAAATGGCAACTAATAGTAGATTTTAATATCCCACTTTCAATAATAGATAAAATGTTCAAATAGAAGATCAATAAGGGAATAAACGACTGACCAACACTATAAAACAAATGGACCTAACAGCATAAACAGAGTATTTCACCCCAATGCTGCAGAATACTTATTTTTCTCAAGCACACATAGGATATTCTCAATGATGGACCACATGTTAGGTCATAACAAATTTAAGAAGACTAAAATTCTACCTAGTGTTTTTTTAAACTAAAATTAACAGAGGACCAAGTGTGGTGGCATGTACCTGTACTCTCAATTACTTGAGAGGCAGAGGCATGAGGATAATTTGAGTTCAGGAGTTTGAGGCTATAGTATTCTATAATTACACCTGTGAATAGGCACTTAACTTCAGTCTGGGCAAAAAAGTGAGCCCCCTATCTCTAAAAATATATGAAAATGAAAAGAAACTAAAAATCAATTGCAAAAGGAAAACTGGACAATTCACAAATATATGGAAATTAAACAATTTGCTCTTAAATAATGAAACAGTCCAAGAAGAAAATGAAGGAAAAATTAGAAAATATATTGTGTCAAACTAAAGAGAAAGCATAATATAACAAAACTCATGGAATATAGAAAAAGAAAAACTACTAAGAGAGAAATTTATTGCAGTAAATGCCTACATTAAATAAGAAAAAAATCCTCAAATAATCAACCTAACACTATACCACTAATAACTAGCAAAAGAGGAACAAACTTAACCCTAAATTAGCAGAAGAGGAAAATAATTTTAAAAAAGAACAGATATAGAGAAACATAATAAAAGAAAAGGTATATAAAATCATTGAAACTAAGAATTCATTTTTTAAAAGATCAACAAAAGTGACAAGCTTTTAGTAAAACAAAGAAAAATTTAGAAAAGATTTAAGTAAATAAAATCAGAAATTAAAGAGGAGCCATTGCAACAGACAACAGAAGCATTAAACAACAACAACAAAAAGGATTATGGGGATGGGCTGGGCGTGGTGGCTTACACCTGTAATCCCAGCACTTTGGAAAGCCAAGGTGGGGGTATCACCTGAGGTCAGGAGGTTCAGATCAGCCTGGCCAACCTGGAGAAACCCCTCCTCTACTAAAAATACAAAAATTCGCTAGGTATAGTGGCGCATGCCTGTAATGTCAGCTATTCAGTAGGCTGGGGCAGGAGAATCATTTGAACCCGGGAGGTGGAGGTTGCAGTGAGCTGAGATCGCACCACCACACTCCAGCAACCTATCAAGACTTAATCATAAAGAAATAGACTATCTGAATAGACTTCTAATAAGAACATTTAATTAGTAATCAAAAATATTCCAAGAGAGCTGCATGACCAGATGGATTCATTGGTGAATTCTACAAAACATTTACAGAAGAATTAACACTAATGTTTTTTAAACTCTTTCTAAAAATTGAATCAGAGGGAACTTTTTTTCGTATTTATTTAGTGAGGTCAGCATTATCCTGATACAAGCCAGATAAGAAAAAAATAAAAATACATATCTCTGATGAATATTGATGTTAAAATTCTCAACAAAGTACTACTAAATTAAGTTTAACAGTACATTAAAAATGATACTGCATCAGAACAAGAGGAATCTACTCCTAGGATGCAAATATAGTTTAACATACACAAACTAATCAGTGTGATGGTCCACAGTAACAAAATGAAGGATAGATATCACATGATTATCTCAGTAGCTGCAGAAAAAGCATTTGACAAAATTCAACATACTTTTCTTCTGTTCAACAACAAATAGAAGAAAATTTACTCAACATAATAAAGACCACATTTGAAAAGTCTACAGCTAGCATGCTCAATGGTGAAAAACTAAAAGTTTTGTATTTTTCATAAATAATATGACAAGGGTGTCCACTTTCACCACTTCCATTCAACATAGTACTTGAAGTCCTAGTCAGGGCAATTGGGCAAGAAAATAAAAGTCATTCAAATTAAAAAGAAATAAGTTAAATTACATCTGCTTGTGGGAGGCATCTTATATGTAGAAAACTCGATGGATTATACACACACACACACATAGGTAGAATTAATAAACACATTTAATAAACTTGTAGGATACAAAGTCAACATATAAAAATCAGTTGTGTTTACACATGATAACCATGAACTTTAGAATTTTTAAAAAATTCAATTTACAATAGGATATAAATAATAAAATACTTATAAATGAATTTAAGAATGGAGGTTAAAGTCTTATGAATTGAAAAATACAAAACATCGTGGATGGAAATTAAAGAAGACACAAATAAATCAAAATACATTCCACGTTCATGGACATCTCATGTCCATGTTCATATTGTTCATATTGTTAAAATACTACCCAAAACAATCTACAGATGCAATGTTATCTCTAACAAAATTCCACTTTTTTATAAAAATAGAAAAAAACTCCTAAACTTTATGTAAAACACAATTGATCCTAAATAGTAAAAATAATCTTTAGAAAGAACAAAGATGAAGGCATCACACGTCCTGATTTCAAAACATATTTCAAAGGTATAGTAATCAAAACATACGGTGCAAGCATAACAAAAGATTTATAGACCAACAGAAGAAAATGGAGAGGGCAGGAATAAAATAATGCAAATAGAATCAACTGTTCTTTAAAAACAGTGCCAAGAATATAAAATGGAGAAAAGAGTATATGTTCATATTTTCAACAATTGGTGTTACAATAACTGGATTTCTACATGCAGAAGAATGAGATTGGAAACTTTTTTTTTATACACCATACACAAAAACTCAACTCAACATAAATTAAAGACTTAAATGTAAAACCTGAAACTATAAAACTATTGGAAGAAAACTTAGGGAAAAATCTACCTGATATTGACCTTGGCTATGATTTCATGAATATACCAAAAGTGCAGACAACAAAAGCAGAAATAGACTAGAAAACTCTATCAAAATAAAAAGCTCTGCACAGCAAACGAAATGATCAAAATACTGAAAAGACAATATATGGAATGTGAGAAAAAATTTGCAAACCCGACATATGATAAGTGGTTGGTATCCAAAATAAGTAATACATAAGAAGGTCCTATAACTCAGAAAGAAAAAAATTAAATAGCTTGATTAAAATGGGCAAAAGGCTTAGACATTTCTTCAAAGAAAACATATAAATGGCTCACAGGTATATGAAAAGTAATTCACCATTACTAACAATCAGGGAAATGCAAATAAAACCACCATATGATATAATCTCATAAACTATTAGGACTGACATTATAAAACAGATGGAAAATAAGTGTTAGTGAAGACTGGAGACATTGGAACTTCTGTGCACAGTATAAACATTCCTCAAATAATTAAAAATGAAACTACCATATAATCTAACAATCCCATTTCTAGGTATTTACGTAAAATAAATGAAATAAGGATCTCAAAGATATATTTGCACTCCCTTGTTCATTGCATAATTATTCATAATAGTCAAGTTATGGAAACAACCTAATGTCCATTGATGGATGAATAGATAAAATGTAGTGTATGCATACAATAAAAATACTATTCAGCTTTTAAAAAGAAAACAAATTTTGTCGTATGATGGAAGTTAGGTGAACCTCAGACATTTTGCTAAGTGAAATGCTAAGTAGAAGTAAAATGGTAGTCACCAGAGGGCAGGAAGAGGGTGTGAAAAAGTACTGGTGATGTGCTTTTCAATGGATATAAAGTTTCAGTAATGCAAGATGAAAATCTCTAGAGATCTTCTATACAACATTTTACTTATAGTTAACAATACTGTACTATTAATTTCTAATTTTGCTAAGAGGGTAGATCTTATATGTTTTGTAACACAATTG